GTTAAACTAGGTTTGGTAAACTTAACTTGAAAAAGAAAAGAAATACACTTCTAGAGTTTCCCTAGGTTAAAACCATTCGGCCAAGTGGGAAAAATTGGAAAAGAATGGATCTTTATGGGGTAATTAAGGGTTTAGAATATCATGGTAACCTAGTTAGTTATGGATTAATTGTTTAGGGTGGAAATGAATTTAGTAGATGTAAAAGACAATCCATGGCCACCTTAAAACTCAATCGGTCCAACTAAAAAGGAAAAATAGGGTTTTGGATTTCATTAGGTAAATTTGATACTTGACGGCTAAATTTTGTTTCTTTTGTGAACCTTAAGGTTTATATTTTCTTGATAACTTTTAATTATGATTTGGTAAGTTAGTATAAAAAGAAATTGACCTAGAAATGGAAAAACAATTCCTTGCTCACTTAAGGACACATTCGGCCTAGACCCATAAATTTTAGGGATTTAGGTTCTCACCTTCCACATTTATAACTAAGGGTTAAAGTACATTTAAACAAACATATAATGAAATATTGAAGGGGTGGTGACCCAAGAAAAAACCAAAAAGGGACCTAGACCTATTACGAGTCAAGTTCAACCACTAAGATTAAAGGTTCGGATTAAACATGATTTTAGCTTAAATATACCCTACATACATCCTTAGGATTAACCGATCATGTAAACTAAGTAATACATCAAAAATCCAAGCCTAGACTTGCAAGGTATACGAGAAGGGAAAACTCAAAAGTAGATTTATGCAATGAATGCTACCAATGAATGAAATTCACATTCTTATTTTCAATACTTTGAATGGTATATGAAACACCTGTGAAGTCCTAAGTGTGCGTTGGGCATAGGAATGGAATGAGAAGAAAATATTGATAGCATAATTAGTTGAATGTGTTAAATATAATACCATATGCATCACGTGCATTCGGGGTTGATATGAAATCGAGAAAAAATCATTGAGTCATGAGATAATGCGGTTTGGTAATTCCACTTGAATAGAATGGCTAACAACATGAAACCATGTGCGTGCTCTATTACTAACACCGTTAAGTAAGGGATAACTCTTTTAACCGTGTGCTACAACGAGGGGTAATTCCATTGTGAGCGAGGAGGTGATAATGGGATCACCGAGAGAGAGTAATAGAGTAGTAGGTGATAACATGATCATCGAGAGATGGAACGAGTCGGTCTTGTTAATACCTAGGGTACCGGATTAAAATGGATGGGTAGAATAGAAAAAAGAACTACATTGCATATCACGTGCATCACTTACTTACTAAGCTTTGGCTCACCCCATTGATGTTTTCATGTTATGACGGGAACTAGTCAAAGTAGTCGGGATGCTACCAAGTCCTCCAAAAGGCTCACGTGTGACACAAATGTACCAAATTTTCTTTTGACTCGTAATTTTGAGGTTAGGGTGTCAATAAACATTTTGATAGTATTGTAACTAAACTTTGTAATTTCTTCCACTATATTGCTAATATTATGCGAATTATCTTAGATGCATTTCACTATATAATACGTTCTTAATGTATCGAGCACATACATGCTTAAGGTCAAATTGGAAACCGGTCGTGTCGGCATGATACACCTCACCTAGCAACTCCTTTTAGGTAATTGGCAAGTGAGCCGGGAGGGGCGTCACGGGAGAGAGAAGAAGAGAGAAGGAGAGGGATGTAGAGATTCAAAGCAACATAAAAGGAAATGATGTATCGAAAATAATATCATATATAAAAATTTTACTTTAGAACATTGCAAGATCCATGCAAAAACAAACAAAGTTAGAGGATAAGATTAGTACCTCTTATAGCATAAATCACGTGTCTTGTGTGAGGGATGCTTGGAACATGAGCATAAATCTACAAATTATACCTCTCTTATAGTGCGGATCACATCTCTTGCATGAGGGATGCTTGAATCATGAGCATAGATCTATGCACTACACCTCTATCGATATCCATACAAACATCTTGACCAATAGAACAATTCTATAATGGAGTCACCTTAAGTCAAAGTGCGAGCTATAAGTTATTATGTTTAAAGGTTGGATCATCTTCCGCTTAAGGCGGTTAGGTTTTCCTCTCAAAGTTGATAAGGTTTCTATCTTTATAGTTACTAGGGTTTCTATCTCATAGTTATAGTTATATAAATAAATATTATGTGCTAGTTGAATTTTACCAAAATCAAAATGTGTGTGAGCCATATTCCCACCAAGAAACTAATCTCCTAACCCTAAGGAGAGAGAAAAATATGGGCTAATTATTTTGATAAATTAATATCCAACGACCTTAGACTTGGACTTCATTAAGCCTATTTTCTTTGTGTTAATCGAATTAGCCTATTAGTGTAATTAAATACTATAATCCAAAATGTATCTCAATCTCACTAGGAATCTTAACCTAACTAGGAATCCTAATCCAATTAGGACTTTTGGTCATACTCCAATTTTGAGTTGATCTTTGTGTGTGACCCTATAGGTTCTTATTATGTTGGTAGTGATCTTAAAATCATAATTTAGAATCACAAATAGGTAGTGGTATCTAGCAATGCATCACTACTACCCAAGTAATAAGAATGTCGGTGATTCGACATAGCTTTGTCCGTGACATATGTTACTATGTATTCTAGTCTATTTGTCCTAGATGTCTAGCTTTACACATGAGACATGGAATATGTCATCCTCATATAGTTTAATCTTAGCATTTCTTGATCCATAAGTTGACTACTCTAAACAAATGAGATCAATATCTCATATCAATTCATTTGAGCGTGGCCATGCATTTCACAATCTCACTCAATCAACGAGCCCATAAACATCACTCCTGTTATATAAGAAGGATAAATCCTATCTACATCACTCACATCCCTCTTTGTGATTTATGGTATATCCAACAAACAACTTTATAGTCCACCCTATTACATATGACGTTTGATGGTATGAAAATATATGAATTTTCATGTAAGAAACCATAGGGACTTCAAGTTGAAGGACCACGTATACCACAGTCATGATGAGACCAACTTATGACACTCATATAACGATCAACGTATTGATCCGATTGTGGGTCGATACGAGTACATGTTCTCTAACATGTGTCGACGTCGGCCATCGGGAGAGGAGGGGTCGAATCAAAGGAGTTGCCACCTAGATAATTAGGGAGAACTAGGAAACCCTAAACATACTTGGTCTACATGGATACCGGATAAGGGGTCGGTTACATATGGAGAAGACATGTCGTCATCACCATCCCATCCTACCTAAGGTAAGTCTGCATCGTTTGTTTATGAATGTAAAAATCTAGTTTTTATCATGTTATGCTTTTATGCCTATTAAATGAGTTTATTTTGTAAAAATATGGTATAGGATGGCTTGGATATAAAATAGGTTAGTTTGGACATTTAGGTCGGTCCAAGGTCGATATGTCCTACCCAAATGGAAAACGAGTAAAAAATGAGAATTTCGGCTAGTCATTAGCGAACATAACCTATTATTAACAATAGAAAAGTTTCTAAAGATAAATTGCCTTTTTTGGCATGAGCTATGAGTCATCGATGACTTTGCTCACACAAGTGGGAAGCCACCGATGACTTCAAGTCATGCATTTAAGAAGCTATCGACAACTTCTACACAAAAGTGAAAAGTCATTGACAAATTCATGTTGCTCTAGTGAGGAGTAGATAATTATTTAGAAGCAACAAACAACTTCGTCACATAAGTGGGAAGCCACCGACGGTTCATTACGGACAAGATAGACATTAAATGAAAAAAAAACTATTTTTGAGGCCACCGGCGATTTTGCTTTGATGAAATAATTCAAGAAAAATAGAAAAAATGCAACAGAGACTAAAAGCAAAAAAGAAAAGAAAAGAAAAAGAAAAATAGGCATTACAAAACAGGAATCATGCATAGAAATCGATAAAATTGCTCCGAAGCCCTCCGACGGCTTCGTCACATAAGTAAGAAGCCACCGACGACTTCATTTTGATGACAATCAATCATGGATAGACAATTAAATCACATGACTTCACATTTGGACAACTAAGCATGCAAATCGAAAAGCAACTTAATTTGTCTTTTGATATCGGCTACGTACAACAATGTTTATGTCAATCACATTTAGACTATGGCTATTCAAACCAAATGCAACGACTTCATTCACGTAAACCAATAGTCCAATCATTTTTAATCATTTGTCATTTTTTTAGAAAATATGCAATGGTTTTAGAGTTTTACCCAAGAGCTCTAAAACTTTGATGTCCGAAACAAAATCATTTGTACTCTCTTCGGTTTCGATGAAAACCGATTGTTCGATTAGCCAAAAAAGGAGAGTAATTTTCCAAAAGTTCCTCCGTTACTTGTGCAACTACTCCAAATGTTGTTGAAAAATTTACAGGGGTTCCTGAAATCTTGCAAGATTTCCTAAAAATCAAAAATGACTTTCTTACTCTATTTTTCCGTCAAAACCCAAAGAAATGCGATCTACAACGTCATGTTGTCCCCGCTAATATAATCCAACACAAAAAAAAAAAAATCATCTTAGTCCCTTTAATTTTTTTTTTTTTTGCTCTTATTTCTTTTTTTTTCGAAGCTCCAAAGAAGTGTGCAAGGGTTCGTTTTGAGGTAGGTTTTCTGGCTATCATGGTGGCTATTTTGAAGATTTTTGGCACTATTTTGAAGCTTTTTGGAGGTCTATTTAGGGTTGGGTTGGTGGTTTAAATAGGTTGTCTAAAGGGGCTTCTCTGTAATAGTTTTTAGGGGTTGTTGGTAATGGTTACGGGGCTAATTTTTTTGAGGTTTTGGTAGGTTTTTCGGTGTCTGTTTGGGGCGATTTTGGGGCTACTTTTGAGGTCGTTTTGGGGATAATCTTAAGCTACCTTGGAAGTATTTTATGCCTGTTTTGGATTAGGGAGAAGTCAGCTAAAAGGAGTCCGTAGGGCGCTGTTCGGTAGGGCTATTTTTGGGTGGTATTGGGTGTGTTTATAGAGGAGGGTCGGATGTTGGGGTGTGAGGTGAAAGGGAGAGTTCGAGCAAGGTCGGTGTTGGTGTGAGGCATGCTCGAAGGGGCTATAGGCGTGCTTGTGGGTGCCGACTTGGGAGAGGGCGTGTGTCGGGCAATGAAGGACGACCTAGGTGCACGAGTGAGGCCGTTGCAAGGGAGAAGGGTTCCGGTGTGGTGATGGTTGTAGGTGAAGAGCAACAAGATTATAGTGATGGCCGCAGGTGGGGGCGAGAGGGTCGTGGTGGAGCTGTGGGTGAGGGGGCTGGCGTGTAGGGGTGCATGCGAGAGGGAAAGAGCGGTTGGTTGGTGGTCGGCGATAGGGAGTCGGCGTGGGAGCTTTTTTGCATTTTCTTTATCTGCGCGGCTGCCTCCTCCTACTTGTGAGGATGAATAGTGTTAGGTATAAAAAAATGCATGGGGTGGGCTAAATATCAGTTTGGTCCTTGGTTTCTTCTCATGCATTAACTTAAGGTCGATTTTGCTTTTTTTGTTTTAATTTGAGCCGCCCTTGTAACTAATTGAGACTTTTTATTTTAATTTGTCCCAATCGTGCCCCCTTATTGTTTTAATTGAAGGATAAAAGTTTAGATTTTTTTGATTGGACCTTCAATTGCACTTTTTATCACCTCTAAACTTTTCAATGCTTCAATTAACCCCTTCCCTCTTTCTTTCTTTTTTTTAATTAAGCTAAACTAATTACCCTAACCGATTTTTTTCACTTTTTGATTTTCTCTTTTTTGATTTTTTTTTGTTTCCATTTTTGTTTTTACACTTTTTTTTTTGTATTTTTGCTACAACAAAAACAAATAAATAATTAAAGGGGAGTAAAATTTTGGTGTTAATAGTTGCCTCTTCGTAACAATGCCGACAACGCAAAGTCATTGAAAATGTCTTCTTTGACTTTACGTAGTAAGCTTTGTAAAGAAATAGTGAAAAGATTCGAAAGACATGACTAACCATATCGAACGAAAACATGACTGACCATGTTGATTTAAAAGTACGCGATCGACTACGCTAACTTTGTAAGACATTACCGGCCATGTCCAAAGAGAACATGACCGACCACGCCGATTTGAGAGAGTGCATCTGATCGCCTCGACTTTATAAAACATGACTGGCCATGTCTAAAAGAATGTGACTAACCACAATAATTTGAATGGATGCGATTGACCACTTCGATTTTATGAAACATGATTGACCATGTCAAGAGAACGTGATCGACCATGATAACTTGAATGGATGCGACCGACCACTCCGAATTGGTAAGACATGATTGACCATGTTAAAAGAGAATGTGATTGATCATGTTAATTTGAAAAAATGCGATTGATTGCTCCGATTTTGTGAGACATGATCGACCATGTCAAAAAGAGAACATGATCGACCACATTAATTTGAAGGAACACAACTAACCACGTTGATTTGAAGGAATGTGATCGACCACATTAATGTTGCGGGGACATGATCGACTATGTCAAGTGAATGTGACAGACTACATTCATTTGAAGGGATGTGATTGACCACGTTCGTTTGAAGGGATGTGACCGGCCACATCGATTCTACGGGGACATGATCGACCATGTCCACTTAGTAAGAAAATGTACTCGATCACGTTGATTTGGAAGGACACAACTGACCGTATTGACCTAAAAGGAAATAATTGGCTAAATTAATTCATAACTTTCCTTCTTTTTGTTTTTGGCAAAATACAATTAACTATTCCGATTTGACTTTATTGAAGTAATCTTGGACAAGATAGAATTAGTCTTTTGTGGGTAGGACAACTAAGTGGAACTATGAGGTTGTTGTTTGATATGCATTCTTCACTCATAAATTATACTTCTCATTGTTAGAAATGTAAGCCCTAACTATTCGGACCACACTTCCTCTTCTTACTCGGTGGCACCTTTGTCTTCCGTAATTGAAATGCAAGGCTCACTCGCCCCTTTCTCTCTTTATTTCTTCTTCTTTTTTTTGATCTGTTTGTTCGTACATCCATTGATTTTAAGTCATTTGATCATGTCGACACCATCTAAATAGTGTTCAAAGACATGATGACTCTCCTCCTTTAGCCTATGTTCTCGCTCGTTTTGTCATCGGGTTTGCCCCGGTGTTGAATTCCTTTAACATATTGGAATTGCCTATGGTGCCCCACGATTTGCATTCCAAACAGAGACACGATTTGGAAGGTCCTATCAAGCTAAAGGCTTTTGTAAACAACTTTATCATGTCATTCTTTGGTATTTTGAATTGTTTATTGTGTTTCATAAATAATATGCATACACTCTTATGTGAAGGACCAAGAAAATAGGCTTTTAGGGACCGATCACATTTGAGAATATGGTTTTTTTTTATGGAAGAGAATAAAATAAAAATTTGATCGTGATAGGTGAACAAAGAACTTAAGAAGAAAAAGAAAACATTAACACGTAAATTAGATTGGCCAAAACTTGATGAATATTTATTGCTTTGAACTAAGAAAAGTTACAACTCAAGTGTAATATTTCTTCGTAGCATTTGAATTCACCGACTTAGATAGTTCATCGTCATCCATGTTTGTTAGAATGAGAGCTCCCCGCGAATGCTTTTTTTACCACGTAAGGACCTTCATAGTTTGGTACCCATTTACTCGATCCGCCCCTAGTATCCGTAGCACTTTCTTTAATACCAGCTCCCCTTCCCGAAAACTTTTTTGTCACATCTTCTTATCATATGTTTTGGTCGTTCTTTTTTGATATAAATGGGCATGGCATGTGGCAACAAGCCATTTCTCACTTATTAGATTCAGCTATTCATGTCAAAATTTTGCCCATTCAGATTCTTCTAACTTAGCTTCTTTCAAAACTCTTAGAGAAGGTATTTTGACTTCTAAAGGCATCATTGCTTCCATCCTATAGACCGGGGAGTAAGGATTCGCTCATGTTAAAGTCCCGATAGCCATTCGATAAGCATGTAAGGAAAATGGTAGCATCTCGTGCTAGCTTCTATATGACACCACCATCTTCCGAATAATCTTCTTCAAATTTTTGTTTGTTGCCTCCACGACTCCATTCATCTTAGGTCTATATAGGGAGGAGTTATGATGCTTTATCTTCCACTCGTTGGCATAAATCCGTCATCAATTTTTCGTTAAAGTTTGTAGCATTGTCTCGTCACTAGAGTTTCGGGAGAGGCATATCTAAAGATTATGTCCTTTTCTAAAAATTGACATACAACCTTCGAGTTACATGTGCAAAAGAGGCGACTTTGACCCACTTGGTGCAGTAATTAATTGCTACTAGAATGAAATGGTACCCATTGCTTGCTTTAAGATTTATCAATCCAATGACATCCATGCCCCACATTCCAAATGGCCAAGGTGATACCATATTAAAAAGGGATGCTCGGTGGCGCATTTATCCGATCGGCATGAATCGACACTTGTGACATTTTCGAACATAATCGATACGAGTCTTTCTCCATAGTGGTCGAGAAATAACCACTTCATTGAATCTGTCGAGCCATCATATGTCCACTTAGCATGTGTAGCACGGATCCCCTCATAGACCTCTCATATAGTCTTCTTTGCTTCGGCAGAATCCAAACATCTTAACGAGAGCCATCAAAACTTCTTTTTGTATAAGATTTCACCATCAAGATAAAAATCCATACCCAACCTTTTTAGCATCTTTCTATCATTCTTGGTTGCTTCGGTCGGATATTCACTATCTTTGATGAACTCGCTTAATGTCATGGGACCATGGCTTCCCATCTAGTTCTTCTTCAATTAAACTACAATAATATGTCGGGGCATTTTTGGTCTCAATGCATATGCGTTGAATCTTCACCCTAAATTCAATTTCAGTCATGGAAGCAAGTGTTGCTAGTGCATCAATAAAATGGTTCTTCTTTCTACCCAAATGGGTGAACTCAATCTCTTCGAACTGATCGCGCCTTCATCAAGTACTTTTGGTATGGCTTTAGATTTTCATCTTTTGTCCGCCACTTTCCTTTCACTTGACTAATTATGAGCAAATAATCGCCGTATACATCAAGCTTGCTTATCTTCATTTCTAGAGTCGCTTTTCTAGGCCATGCACACATGCTTCGTACTCAACAATATTGTTGGTGCATTCAAACCGCAACTTCATCGCCATAGGGAACTATCTTGCCTTTGGTAAGATTGAGACCGACCGGATACCATTTCCGGACATATTAATAGCCCTATCAAAATATAAGACCCATATGTCATCCTTTAACTCTAGCTCTGCTTTCTCGACCATCACAATTGATTTATTAGGAAAGTCAAATTTTAGAGACTCATAGTCATCTATTGTGTGCTCTACTAAATGGTTAGCTATGGCACTTCCTTCTATTGCCTTTCTTGTCATGTATATAATGTCATATTCAAATAACATGACTTGCCATCTTGCAATTTGGTTAGACAGTATAGCTTCTCAAAGATGTACTTAAGAGGATCCATTTTTGAGATTAACCAAGTGGTATAATAGAGCATGTATTATCTAAGTCTTTGTGCACACCATACTAAGCCATAACACATCTTCTCCAATACAATGTATCTCGACTTGCGATCGGTGAACTTCTTACTTAAATAGTAGATGGCTTGTTTTTTCCTTTCCGACTCATCTTGTTGACCCAAGACACCCCCTACAGCCTATTTTCATCACCGATAAGTACAAAATCAATGGTCGTGCGAGCACGAGTGGCACCGGTAGTGGTGGGTTTTGTAGGTATTGTTTTATTCAATCAAAGGCCTCCGGACAGTCTTCATCCCACACCAAGATTCTTCTTTTTTAACAATCTGAATATTGGTTGACAAATATTGGTTAATTGAGAGATAAAATGAGAGATGTAATTCAAACGACCCAAAAAGCTTCGACTTCTTTCTCGGTTGACGGGAAGGCATACTCCGAATGGCTCGACTTTGTCGGGATCAACCTCAATTCCCTTATTGCTTACTACGAAAATAAGTAATTTCCCGGACTTCACCCCAAAAGTGCACTTCGCAAGATTCAACCTCGGTCGATATTTCCTTAGTCTCTCAAATAGCTTTCTCATGATTGCGAGTGTGGTCTTTTTCTTCTTTAGATTTGGTAATCATATCATCCATATACACTTCAACCTCTAGGTGCATCATATCATGGAATAAAGTAACCATGGCTCTTTGGTAAGTGGCCCCAACATTTTTCAACCCAAGAGGCATAACTTTATAGCAAAACGTTCCCCAAGGTGTGACAAATGCCATTTTCTCCTTGTCATCAACTCGTCATTTT